CCTCAGAATACAGTGAAATATTGGGGCTTTCTCCTTCTGCCTTTGTTGCATTACATTTTGAAAGCTGACAGTTTCTAAAGTCGCTGGTAAAAAGCACACACACACCCCCTCATCCCCCCTTTTTTTTGGACTTGTGAACCACGGCTGAAAATTTACGCCAAGAAGAAAAGACAGGCACTTCTCGGGAAGACCATACATCCCGCAACCAGTGGAGAAAGGCATCGGGGAAGCTCCTTTAGCAATATCACTGCCTGAGCTGCCTGTGCAGGTGACTTAGCACTTCTGAAACTGGAAATGGATTTCCAAAATGTTTACTACACAGAGAAAAGGTGAGGGGGGGTGGAGGGAATAGAAGACCTGAAACAACTTATTTGGCAAGCACATTGCAGAAACTGCTAGTACATACTGTGGTCCCAGACCCAGTGGGCTGTGCTTACCTCATTTGTTTCACGTAGGTGAACCTAGCCAGGATGTTTTGTTTAGTCGTGGGCAGTGTGACAAGAATGGGACATCCAAATAAGGTCACTCAGGATGTGTTTAACAACACCGGGTAAAGTCTGTGGCAAGGGATTATGCACACACATACACATAGAGCATCCTCTGTACATACCGTTGACTTAGTGCGTCATTATTCCTAGAATAACTTCTGGAGAGGCACTCCACCCTTGTATTTCCAACGCTGAAGATGTGATTGTCTCAGAGCCAGTTATTACAGTGATTTTAAGGAAGGGGAGGCAGAGGGAAGGGCCCCTGATTTCTCTGACCTCTTTGAAGAGGTGCAATGCAAACAAAATTGTCAAAAGCAGAGGTAGTTTTAAATCTGTCAGCCCAAACTCCCTTGTGATTTTTGAAACAGCAGCGAGCAAAGAGGCTTCCTGAGGCCATCCTAGACACTCAGATAGCACAGAGTTCTGCAAAAGGACAAGCCACACACCTGTTTAAATATAAGTCAATATGTTTTATTAAGCAACAGTCCTACAGGTGCTCACACATGATGAAAGCAATGTGAGGGAACGTGCATTTTCACTCGTAGGAGAATCTTGGAAGGCAACCCCATTATATTGAGTAGGAAACTCCTTTTTTTAACCTGCAAATTTTTGATGGTGCATAAAGAACTTGCAAGGGATCTGCAAAAGGTAACTGAGAGAAAAATCACTTGCAGTAACTTAAATTTGTTGTAAAAAAGCTTGCCTTTCCCTTGTAAGTCCTCTACAGTTGAATGAGGTGATAAGCAATAAAAGATTATGTTGTTAGCAGTGGGACAAGGGATGACATACAGTTGCTGAGATCAGTGGTTTACAGATTTGAAACGGTAAGTTTTGATCAAAAAATGGCCTAAGGCTGAAACTCAAAGCAGTCAAAATGGGGGAAAGTCAGATCCCAGGTTGCTCCCATGACCCTAACTCAGTTCCTTCTGTGTACAGTTTTGGGTATAATTTGCAGTTAAATGATCATATTTAAATAAATTACAAAACTTTCCACTGAATGTTTGCTTCTTTCATCACAGAAAGTTATTATGTTCACTTACAGATATTCAGTGTTTTGTGTCCCGTTTGCTGTGTGTCCTGGTCTAGCACGCCTAGCACACACTGTACCAGCGAGGCACAAGCATCACAGCCACTTCAGTTGAGGCACCTGGACCAGTTGAGCGCCCAAGACTGACCGGCTTGGCCAGACACATACTGCCTCTGAAGCAAGGAGTAAGGAGGCAGCAGGAGGAGGCCTGGGATGAAGGCATGGCAGAGAGATGGAGAGGAATGAGACCCACTAAGGGGCAGAACATCAATGATTTTCTCAAATAAATTTCAGCCTGCAAGCTGGGCCCTGTCTCATCCATCTTTTCCTTTCAACCTTGCTCTGAAGTGAGAATTTTCTCACTTTACCTTAGGGGTGCTGATGTCCATCATATGGGTGGTACCTCCAGGCTGTCTCCATTTGCAGGATGCTTCCAAGGAAAGCCTTGCTTCACCGTGGCACCTGACACTGGCTACGTAACATCCCTGCAATGGGAAGTGGAAAAATGCAGCAATGTGGCCATCCTGAGCACAGAAATGTCCGTGTTCAGTCCCGAGGAATGGGTCAGACCTGCCCTTTCCCACCAGCACGGCTCAGGCTCCACATCTGCTCACACCGCTGTTTTCACTGCACCCACTTTCCTTCCTACCTGCTTAAAAGTGTCAGCTCCTCATAAGGAAGGACTAACCTGTTTTCATGTTGGAACAAAACTTAGCACTACCTGAGTGATCCATTTGGACTAAGGAAGCAGTTGAAGAGGAGCAGTTCTCAGTTTGCTGAAGTGTTTTGGGTCTTCAAATTCAGTTCCATTTTTTTCTTTCTTCTAAAACAAGCAAAATCCATAAAACTCTGCAGTTAATTCTTTACTAAGAATTGAGGAAAGCTGTCACGATTTGTCAAACATCTCAGAACAATATAGAGATCTAAAAAAGCAATATCAACATATGTGGTAAAAGTTGCAGATATATTGCTATTACCTATTCAACAGCATTAACAATACATGAGAAGAAAGGTTGTCATCACTTCTGTTAGACTAATGGACACGGCTCAAGAAGTAAACAAGCTTTTGTACACCTGGATACTTCATCACAGCTGAGTGGGTAGGAGAAGGTAAGTGGCATAACAACAGATAGAATAAATGGATCAGTCTGAAATAAAAAAGAAATGGACTGTTAAAAAAACCCCACACATGCAGTGGGCATTTAAAACAAAACAAAAAAATCTATGAAAAGGCAAAATTTGCATTATCATCCTCACAAGCAGAGACTTAAATAAATACGCTTTAGCCCAGCAGCTTAAACAGAACTCAGCAAAGTCTGAAGTTTTGCTGACCCTATGGGAAACTTTTGAAAATGCCAAATAATTCAAGCATGTGAAAGTAGTCTTTGCTTCTTTGACATATTAAAAAATGAAACAGCTGCTCACGATTGGCATGTGCTAAAATGGGGTTTGAATAAATTTTTCAAACATCTGAGAACTGTTTCTCTGCAGCTAAGATACCAGAGAGAGATCTGATCAGTGCATAATGGCAAGCACAGAAAAAGTTCATGATGAATATGAAATATCAAACCAGGAAAACTGCATTCACAAAAGAATGACAAAAAATTCCAAGATGACACACTGTCCTACAAGTGCCTCTCACAGAAACTTTTGCAATTGCGTCTGAGGTATACATATCCGCATTTCCATGGTAGTCTAATGAAAGGGAGCAAAAGAAAAACAAAACAAACAAATGACAACAACAGAAAACCCCAAACATTTTTTTTTAATACCAGAGTGAAAAATATTGGTGGGTAATTTCAACAATAAATAGATACATCACTTTAAAAAAAGAGAAGATAAAATAACCCTCATTTCTTTCCAAGCTATCTTTTAAATTAAAGCATTTCAGATGTCATAACCAGTAAAACATCTGTAGCTTAGATTGTCAATCTACTCAGTTTAAGATATGACCCTTATACACTTTGGCTAAAAAATGCTATCATTTACACAGGTGTATATACACTGACGCAACTTACAATCGATTTACACAGGTGTGACAGAAGAATTTGGCAGAGTTTTGCTAATTTTAAACAATAAAAAAAAATCAGATCAACTTCTGCAGTTGGTTACAGTTGTATCAATCCATAATATGTTTGGCGCTGATAGCGCTGCTCCACGGCTTGTTAATGAAACTAAGAATTTTGCATCCTATGTCCAACTAGAGACTGTAACTGAGCCTAAGACCTCTACAATGAAAATCCTCAGGCTTCTTTTAAAAAAATATTATTTTTTGGGGGGTAGTCTGTTCAGTTTTGTATTAATTTTTGAAAGAAACCTTAACACAGTCCAGTTTTATAACCTGTTATCCCCATCATCATTGTTTTACCCCTACACACAGCATCCCATTAGTACAACATTTTCATACAATCGATGGAACCGTATTTTTTTAAGGCAGAAAATTTGTTTGTAAAGACACAGAACATTGGCAGGACAACTGAAAAGCACCTGTTGTCTCTTGGAACATTTTTTTCAACATCGCTGTCCATTTATTTCTTTGCAGCTTGGTCATGTCCCTTTGTAGTTCTTCTGAGTTTGCTTGCTGTACCTAAACTAATAAAAAAGTGCCAAAATGAGTGATTTTGGGTTTGATTCAGATCTTAGATCTACTGGCCACGCTAACCTGTATGACTCTCTAAAAGACTGCCAGCCAGATGTGCAATGCAGGAACAAACATGTCGGTTTTAAGTATTTTATAGGTAATTTTCAGTTGTTTGGCCAACTTACGTGACTCAAAATGAAACAGGAGAAATAAAAGGGACAGCTTATTCAAAGTGGGTTGTGCTCATATCAAGTTTTCTTTGCATAAATGGAGCAACACAAACATCAGCCCAACAGGCTCATTGCTAAATTTACACCATAATGAAGGGGGAATCAGGCCCAGGACAATCTAATATCAGCTTTTGATACATTTGCAAAAAATTTTAGCAGTATTTAATATTTCCACTAAATCAGAATGTTGATTGGAAACTGAGATGTGAGGTGAGGATCTGAATAAACACATCTGGGAAAAAAAAAAAAAGGTAATTCGGGTCTGAAGGGTCATTCCCTTCAGTAAAAGTAAAGTGCAGTCGATTGCTCTTCCTGGATCTAACAGCAGGGGCGTGGGAAGCTTTCAGATGTCACAGGGTTGTAGATAACATTTGAACATATGATTAGCTTTCGTGAGCTGTCTTTAGAAACCTTACATTTTTCCCTCCCGCACCTTAGCCAGAGATCCTTCCCTTGAGGTTTCGGGACACTTAAAATGTTGCTTTGCCAAAAATCAAGGATGTGGAGAAGTTTTTCCTGTGTGATGTCACTTTGCTGACCTTTATAAGCCTCTGCAGAAAAGAAGGGAACCTATCTGAGGATTTACACTCCAGACACAGGCGACCCAGGACAAGCGAGAAGCACAGAGGCGTATCCAGTTGCAGATACGGATCAACCCCTCAGAACGGCGAGCCATGGCACGGAGCAGTCCCTACAGCTGCCTGGGGTACATGCTGGTGGTAGTCTGTTGTCTGAAGGACACCCTCGCCTTTCCCAACTCCTCTCCGCTGCTGAATCCCAGCTGGGGGAATGGAGATCACCTGATGCACCTCTACACAGATACAGAGCGGAACAGCTTCCATCTCCAAATCAATGCTGATGGCTACGTTGACGGTGTTCCTCACCAAACCATTTACAGTAAGTAGTTTACAGTGGACCCTCAGTCTTCATGGGAGCAGGGGAGGAGAACAAGACTTTTGCTTTCTCATTACCTATAGAAAAATCCCCTCCTTTTGTTAGGCAGTCAGCCAGAGGAGTACAGCTATGGGATGGAAAATATACACAGTTATAATCCTCCTTTTTTTTTAACAAATAAACAAAATCACTCCAAAGAAATGTAGTGGATGGGGAATTTCATTCCTCCTTTAAGAGACGTGAAGTCCTATGGTTCCTGTAATACTCTGCAAGCAAAAACTACCTGAATTATCCTTCACTTCAGGATTTTACCCACAGCTTCTTCTGAAGTTCCTATTAGGGGCTGGTGATGACATCCCCCAAATAGCTACTTCCCATTGCAGCGACAGTATTACCGAAGGAACTGTACTGAGGGAACTCACCACAGCAGTGGTGGAAATCTGATAGCATCTGTAAAACCTTTTTTTTGGGGTAGAGAGCTGATAACTACTAAAACTAACTCTGGTGCACATAGACCATGGGTATGCAAAGGTCGATTAAAAAGGGGGAAGCTACAAAAGGCCAGACTGTCATAAAAGAAGTGCTAAGCCTTTGGGGTTCATGAGAAGTGACTATTCCCTACTGTAACTAAAAGGTTCTCAAATTGTCTCATCATAGTTTATTTTCATGGAAACTAAGGTATTCTTCTTCCTTTGCTGAATACCTGGCCCAAACACTATAGTTAGTAGAAAAATGTGGGGTTTTTAAAGACTTAGGGTTCTTTCATGGCATTTCAAAAGAACTCCTTTTATAGCAGCACTCAAATCAGAAGTAGCTAGGCATCATAAAGTCATTTTTATTATTATTGCTGCATAGCATCTTCTTCATACACTCAATTAAAAATGTAAGCATATGTAATGATGTTTTTACATAAATATATAAGGAACAAAGGATGTTTTTAAAAGTTATAATTTAATCAAGGAAAAAAAAGGATCAAGTTCTCCTATTTTATTTTTGGTTTTAGGAGTTACTAATGAAACACTTGCAGGAACGTCTGTACCATCTTGTTATTCTTCCTGCATATTTAAAGGTTTTATAAAACTCATTTTAGGTATGTTGGTCAAGGACCAGCGTGATGTCTTAGAGAACAACAGACAGCAAAATATCAAATTTTTTCCCATGTTTGCCATGAAATAAATACACCAGTATTTGGCATGGTGGAGCAGGAAGGGTGGAAGTCAGACAATGAAAAGGGTCATGAAAGGGAGGGTGACTGAACCTCTGTCAGGTGACTACGGTACCACTCAGACACCAGATAAATGAGAACTGGAAAGTTCTGCACCAGGGCTGCAATAGCCCCCTGCAGCCCCGTAGGCTGGATGTATACAGCCCTCCTGGGCAGGACCTGAGGGTTACAGCAGGCACCCAGTCAAACACACGGCAACAGCACACTCACTTCGGGAGGAAGGCAATCCACTTACTGTGGCCAGCAGATCGAGAAAAGTTGTTATCCACACCTCACTTGGCACCGGTGAAACTGCTTTTGGAGCACTATAGCAATCCCAGTTCAAGATGGATGTGGAGAAACTGGAGCTGGTCACTGGAGTTGGTCTGGCAGAGGGTTTTCAGGATGGGCAGGGGTCTTGAGCACGATCTGGGAAAGGCTGAGGGAGCTGGGCTTGTTTAATAGAGCAGAAAGGAGGTTAAGCGTAATCTAATACCACAGGGCAGTCACAAAGATGAGGGAGACAAACTACCCTTGGTAGTGACCAATGACAGAACTAAGGGCAATGACCCCAGCCTGTGGTCCGGGACTTCAGAGGGGATGGTAGGGGAAAAAAGTTGTCTTTGGGACGTTCGTATAGCACTGGAACAGGGCACCCGGGGCAGTGGTGGCATCTCCATCCTGGCAGCTTTCCAAAACTCAGACAGACAATGCCACAGCTAACCTGACCTGGGGTGGGCCAGAGTCCCAGGTCTCCTGGGCCCCAGAGGACACCTCCAGCCAGTGCATCTGTGGATCCGTAAGGCAACGTGGCAGTGTCCAACTGGATCTGACATCTTTGCTTTTCCAAACAGGTGCCCTAATGATGAAGTCCGAGGGTGCTGGCTCAGTAATAATCACAGGTGTGAAGAGTGGACGCTACCTCTGTATGGACATGAAAGGAAACATCTTTGGTTTGGTGAGTGACCTTGACTAAGACTCAAGACTGAAAGGCAGGCACAGTCTGTTACTGTTGTGCCTATTTCCTCAGCTAGGGCAAATCTGTACAGCTACAGCAGGAGGATGCAGATTTAAGTGGGCTGAGGCTCTGCCACTGAGGTTAAACCTCCCTTTCTTTGATTGCATTGAGTTATAGAGCTGACCAAAATCAACTGAGCTTGGTTAAATGAGGGCAGAATGAGATCCACTGGTGGATCAATCTGAACTCCTGCTGTAGTCTAGAGCCATGGGTTGGGAGTAGCTCCCAACAACGCCCCCCTGTGAAAGAAAACAATGTTATCATTATAATGCCTTTGCTGCAAACATGGGCACTTATCTCAGATTTACATCTGACTGAGCCTGAGTTGTCTGAGTTACAGAGCTGGCAAATCAGAAAAACATCTGCTGCAAGATCCCACCCTTGTTTCCATCTTTAATTGGCACTTGTCATTCACCAAATCCCTCTGCTCACAGATGTCCTGGGTTTTTTTTCCCTAAGCATTACTTCAGTCAAGAGGACTGCGTGTTCAACCACAGGACGCTGGAAAATGGATATGATGTGTACCAGTCTCCCAAACACAACTTCCTGGTTAGCTTAGGCAGAGTTAAACAAGCTTTCTTCCCTGGTATGAATCCACCACCATACTCCCAGTTTTTGTCCAGGAGAAATGAAATCCCTTTGTTTCGATTCAACACACCCGAACCCCACAGAAATACTAGAAGTGCAGATATCGATCCAATGGATCCTCACCAGATCCTGGTCCCGCAGAGAAAGATCCCTGCGTTCGGATCTCAGTTGCGGCAGCAAGCAGACTTTTCCCACATGCCCAGAGAACCCATGAGAATCAACCAGAACGACGTGGTCAACCCAGATGACCCACACGCTATGATGGATGCCAGGAGGTACGCAAGTCCTCGCTTTTATGTTACAAGATAACTGTGGCCCCGCCACATGCAAACTGAAGACATAGGCGAATAAAGCAGGCGAAAGGAACTGTCTAGAACACTCAGCCTGAATGTCAAAAAGGCTATTAGAAACCTGAACAACATTGGGAAAAAATCTTTAATTTAAGATTTTTGTACTTACAAGTGACAGTTCACTGAAGAAACAAGTTGGACATTTTCCAGTTGGGGCTCTGTTTTACTAGAAAGAAGATACATTTTTTAAAAGAATAATACAAACCAAACATTTTAGGGTCTGAATTACCTTAAGTATGATCAATGAAAAAAAGAATTCACTTGAATGAAATGAGAAACCGGTATTATGTTACTGATGTAACCTGCAAGAGACCTGGAGCATCTGAGATTCCAACAGAGACAGGGAATCCCTTACTAGCACCATCCCTGGCTGTGCAAGCACAGCAGATAAACCAACTGATGGGGTGTTACATTATTATATAAAAAATACTATATATGTTTTTAGCTGTTAAGTTGGAGCTTCAGTCTCTTTTCACGCCCATATGAGTCAAAAAGTGACCACTCTGCTGTCATAGGAGCAGCACACACGGAAACCTGGAGTAAATGGGACAGGATCAAATGCTCCTGTGTAGAAACAGTAATTTCTGACACTTACTGAATCCAAGCTGAGGTTTTGGAAAAGAAAGAGAGGAGAGTCTCACTGGCTCTCAAGTTCTTCTCTATCACACTTCTATATTCACTACTACCATCACAGTATGGAAATATAATACAGAGACATTCATTAGTTTTGCATATGTCCAATCCAGAGAGAAGTACCAGGATTACTAATAATCAATAGTGTGTTAAACAGGATGGTTTCTTTTGCACACTGCTGAACTATATAGGAAAAAAAATGCAAAAAATTATGCCTTATAGGCGTCAAGCTATTAATAGCTCATGAAGGCTCTCACCTAATGAGTGAAAATTAGGTTTCTATTTAGAAAAGGAGAATCTAAGTTTAGCATCCATGTTCCTATTTAGTTCTGAGCAGGTATCAGATGCTTTATACTTGTAAGAGTGAAATGACTTTAATATTAACCAGGAAATCTCTAATGTTGACAAAACCTCTTCCCTAGATTGGTATACGTTATGGGTAAGTTTACTTATCAGAATCTAACCTACATATACATATCTGAAGCTTACAAATCTTTGGTTAAGATGCGATATCTGCAGAGCAGAGCTTTTTATTGTAATTTAGGTGTCAAATTGTTAGCAGGTAGAATTTAGTGTAGCTTGATTGGTTTTAATGGAGCTATATTCATTTCCACAAGGACTCTGAAAATTGTGTACATCCTTAGCTATTTTTCTCCCTTATTTCTTTTCATTTTGATTCAAACTTCCTTAAATCTCTGTGGTTTTGAAAAAGCTATTCTTGATGTACTCTGCAGAAATCAATAGCAAAGCACCGATGAGCTGCGCAAAAACCCAGTGTGGCAGATGTTTGAGAAGAGCTTTTTATTTTGGGGTGTGTGCTTTTTCTGTATGTCAAGATGCAGATTCTTCTCTTTTATTTATTTAGTATATTTAACAGCCTGACAGCAGTCTGAAAATGGTATATTTGTCCTGAGTGTGCTCATAGCAATAGTGCAAAAGACGTTAGGCTAGATTCTGGTCCTGTTCTTTTTTCTGTCTTGTGAAGTAATTCACTGAAGCCACTGGAGTTACAGCAGTGTAAGAAAAATCAAAATAAGCCCCCTATAACGTTTCTTTCATTGAAATTGTTCTGGATTTAGCACAGGGTTTGTCCTCCTGACAGCACTTAAAAGAATCTCTTTGTTTTCCTATATATGTACATATACATGATACCTCCTTATCTACAACATCCAAGATGTTAAGTTAGAGAAGCCACAGGGCCTGATTTTGCTGTTCAAATAGTTTTCCTACATGGAGTGATTCCTAATTCATATAAGTTCTTAGAAGCACAGGACAAGGCAAATGATTAGGATTAAACCAAGAATTCTGTCTCATAATTCATTGTTTTTCATCCTCTAAACTCATGGTGGTTTTGATTAGTTTCAAAAGGAAAGGAGTGATTTTAAAGGATTTAGGAGAATTGCAGGGCAGGTGGATAGTTCTGCATTTTCTTGCTTATTCAAAATACAGCAAGACTTTTTACCTTGCTGTCTATACAGTGGAGAGGTATAATTTTATTTGTATGTTCTAGTTTAATTATTTTACTTGATTACTATACTATTCTTCTTGGGTTTTGCTCCTTGTGAACTTTGGACTGCAATTACACGAGGAAAGTTTTCATTTTGCATAAATTGTAAGCTCCACAGAGTTCTCTAGGACTCCGAGTCAACGGACCTACAACAATTTGAAACGCAAAAAGTTCTGTCTCGATCCATATCAAACTTTGATGGGAAATGTTGGTGGGGTTAAATCTCTATACTGTCTCTATATTCATACATTAGAACAAAGTAAGAAGGGTTGCTCGCTCCATCAGTAGCCAGGGAATTTAGTCCCTAAGCTAAGAGTGAATGCATAGCGAATTTTGCATCAAAAAACATTTTTGTAACTATAGAGAACTGTATCAAAATGTAAAAAAAATTAATTCTTCAAAGGAGATGCTGGCAATCACCAGCTAGTAAGAAAGCATTATGTATTTATATTGCAATATTTATTTATTTATTTGACTGGGTCTTAAGTCCCACAGAATATTTATAAATATTTATAATAATGTATTATAGAGACTCTTTCCTTTTATAAAAGTACCAATAAACTTTCTCCTTCTCTCCAAATGGTGGATCCTGCATTGTCTGTTCAAGCTCCCCATTCCAGAAGGACTTGAGTGAACAAATGGTACTGGCTGTGCCTGAAAATGTTTGTGTCCCACTATCCCCTGTGATTTTCAGTCTCGTAGCTTGCAGCTTCCTGAGTGCTTCATGCACCAAAGCCATGACAAGTTCTGTGAAAGATGATGAGAAAAACAAAGTCTTAGTAGGCTTAGACTAACCATGAAGGGATTGTCACCTCTACTGGGAAACAACTTCTGCAACTCAAAAACGATGGAGAAACCAGTGGTCTAGCAGTTCAATCCTGCTAGGAAGTATTTGTGATCCTGGTCCCAAGATCTTAAGGTAAAAGAGATGGTAAAATTACCGTCACTACTGCTCACACAAAATATTCTGACTCCATTCCTAGGGCTATGCTTAGGCTCTGTTTTGCAGCAGACAGGCCACAGATTTAATAAATTGCAGATACCATCCTCACAGTTCTTTCCTGCAAAGGTCCCCAGGCCCACCAAGACCCAGCGGAGAGCTGCAAAATGGCGAGTGCCTGTGGGCCTGACAGATTGTCTCCTTGTGGTCCTTCCCCTCACCGCAGATATTCTAGGGAGCTCTGTCATGGTCAGTAGCATCATTTGCATCTGCTATGGTGCCAATACCAAGAGATGCATCATATTATCCCCAGGTACCAAAGTACTGTTGTGCTTTGTGGTCGACAGGACAATGGTCTTCAGTGGGAGGGTGGTCAGGTTGGTAGGGAACTCTCTCTGCTCCAAGATCCCTGTCTCCTCCCATTGCTAAAGTTTAGGTCCGTGGACTTCAAAGGGGGAGGAAGCACAGCAGGCATGTGCAGCAGAATTGAAGCATATAGGAAACTTAATAGATGCCAAGGTATCATAAAAAAATCAGCTGGTATCTTGTAGTCTCCCACAGATTTGAAATCTCAGTACTGCCTTGGGACTGTTCAAAGTCATTCACTGTAAGCTGCAACCGTGGCCCCAGAAACAATCTCTGCCACCTCTCTCTCTTTCCAGGAGCGTGATGAACATGAAAGTTTGTTCAAGTTGTTGTCTCTCCTTGTCCAGGAAGCTTGTTCTGTTGTGAAGTGAAACTGCAACTGGATCTTAAAGCAAGGAAAAAAATGCTGAGAAAGAGGAACAATCCAAAGACTGTTGTTTCAGGGATCATGAGGTGTTACCAAAAATCATTTCTGAGGCTGTTTTCTCCATGGAGTAACCCAAATAAAACACTGAGTGTCTGCAAGGTACCTTAGCGCGGCACTGAAGGTGACAGCATTGAAGGACAATCAATGAAATCCAGAGAGCCTGTTCCTGGTGTCCTTTTAAAAGCAGACATCTCCTAAAAAAAGCACTTGATCTCCATCTCTAGGCGAAACAAATTCTGGGAAATGCAACTGAAAAATTAAGCTCTTCTTTTTCTAGAAGTGTGAATGGTGACATTAAAGAGCAGCACTTGAAGACCAGTGTGAATGGAAACTCTTGAAGAACATCTCAAAAGGTTTAACTGGGCCTTTTTTATTTATTTCCTAAATATAGGAAGCTTTATCATCTAACTCTTTAAGCCCACATTGCTACAAATGACCAGCAGAAATCCGGACCGCATGTAAACTAGTCCATGTACGTACACATCCGAAACATTTGTTTGCAAAGACATTTTTCAGTTTTCATTTTTCAGGTAAAACCAAATTAAAGAGTCAGCAGAATCAGGTGCGTTGGCCTTTTTATGGGTAACACAGGCCTGCAAAGTGAGGGGAGCAAAACCACCACAGAGTGCATTTCTCACGACTGAGAACAAAACGCCAGGTAGACGTCACCCATCCGTGTTTCATTGCTGCTTCTTTTGCCTGGGTGGGGTTTGGGAATTACAGTAGGTTGTTGCCTTGTAACCTTCTACCTTCCCTCCAGGGATCCTCACGTTGCCTTTGGCCATTGCTCTTTCCTTCCAGACCTGCTGAAGATGCAAGGACAAGGGGCAGAGGGGACTGAGCTGCCCACTTTAAGAGACCCCAGCGATTCTTTTGATTGCTAGATCTTATCTCATTGCAAACCATGTAATTTTACAAACCACTCTTCAATAACAGATCGGGTAATCCTGTTTGATAACAGCACCAGATAGTAGCGATACCCAAAGCCCAGAACAAAAAGGCTTTTGCGAAACACTGATTGGCCCCCCGAGTTTTCCTGTGGCATGGGCTAGGCTGTTGCCAGACTGGGCAGCACAAGCTAAAAAG